CACGCACATACAGATATAATTTTCCAAACGATTCACATTTCACCACGTGCGCTGGCAACTGATTGCGGACCATAACGAGTGACCAAACCGTATACAAAAATTCGTCTCTTTCTTTTTGAACTCGTCGGTGGATAAAAATTATTGAAAAGTAATAAATTTATTGTTCGTTTTGCCTGGGTTATAATTAAATAAATTACTTAAAACTGTAAAACTTAATACTTAAAACTGTAAAACTTAATACTTAAAACTGAGAAAATATTGCAATTTTGGGACAAAATGTTCCCAACGCGCGCGGCACGTCATTCCAGCGCAAAAGGTGCTAAATGAGTTTTCGAACATACCGAGCAAAATTAACGACTATGTGCTTTCAAACACAGACTTTTCACAAAATCATGTTGCGTGAAATTTAAAAAGTGTTTAACATTAAACTCTGAGAAACTCGTTCTTAATAAGAACGATTTAAATCGGGAGACGGGAAAAAAAAATATATATATATACATATATACTCGCGTTTCATGTGAAATTCATAGACATTCCTCATTCGATTAGAAACATAGTATCAATTTGGACGGGCGGCGAGCGTCTCGCTGTAAAAGTAAAATGAATTCAGCGTGTGACGGAAGCGCGAGTATCGAGAAAATGATTCAGTGAGAGTGCGTGAGACACATCAGACCCGCCGCCGCGTCGGGGGACCAAACGGGGCTTGAATGTAATTCGATGTTTTCGATTTGTACATCCGGCACGTCGACCCCATTGAAAACGCTCGGAAACGATAAAACAATATACTCCGGTCGCGCGCTGGCGGCCTCCCAGTTGAAAACACTTCGAAAATGTATTGAAAACACTCGAAAATGATTGAAATCAAACAAGTTACCGGGCGGACAAGAGAAATCTATCTGCGCGCCCGCACCATCTCCGATCGAATGAATCATTTCGGATACTCCTGCCTGACGAGACACCATCTGCGAGACGAATAGATCGTACACTCTGACTGCGGACACGTTCCAACGAAGTATTGTAACTGCGAAATGATCGATCGGTCGTGCATACCTGCCGATAAATCGGCGAGTTCAGCTTGTGAATTCTGAGTCTCGGACAAGCTGAAAGTTCCTTCCTTCTCCCTCGGAGAAAAAAAAAAAAAGAAAGAACGTACGTCTTATATATTGAGCTATGGAAATGGTAGACTTGAATATTCAGTTTAATAGAGATTTTGCGACGGATGAATTACGACAGTTTGCGAGTTGGGAGCATACCGTTGGAACGGGATCAAGAGACGTGAAGAACGAGTTACGCGGTAATAGTGAACTGCTGGATAGAGTTTATTCGGACTACAAAACCAAATGAACTCGATCAATTCTTAGTACAGACTGTGCGCAGTAAAATAAATTATTAAACGTTTGATATTCATGTGAATGACTGTTTATCCGCATTATTATTTTCATGTATTTTGAGATAACAAACGCAAATTTTTAATTACAATTTGTAATTATAAATGAAATGTTTAGTTGGACATTATAGTGATTCTAATGTTAAAGAACATTTAGAAACAATCAAAGTACAATCAATGAAATAATTTACCAAATCATCACTAGTAATAGAAAGGCAGTGGTACGTACGTATGAAGATACTCATTAGTTAACTACCAAATATAGAGAATCAAAAAGCATAATCAGATCTACGTACAGCAGGGTTTATTTATGCTGGGCGAACGATTATCACGTTGCAACCAATTATTTTGATAAAGAGTCATTAACTAAGCTGCAATAATTATAACCTAATACAAGACTGCTGTTAGTAGTAGAAGTCATCATTGAGTTATAAATTGCTATCCTTCTCTTACATTTGGCTTTACTTAGCGCGTAACAATTAACACCATCGAAATATCATATACGTATGTATATAAAAATGAGAAAACGTAATGCAAGCTACTGCTTGTGCCATCATAGAAACTTCAATGTGAATCGGATCATACCAAGATCATAAATTATAAATTTCCAAAAGATTCGAGCCACAACGTGCGTTCACTTTGAAATTCAATGTTTAACATTGTACGATCTTTTCTAGATTATAATTTGATTTACACTTTATATTTTAATTACATTTGAAATAAATTTTAAATTATTTTTTAAATAAAGATTGTATCAAGTAGAAGGGTATATCAAAATATTTATAAACTCGATCACTTCTTTAGGGAATTGAGAACTTGTAAGATTGACAAATATAACTGAATGAATAACTATCAGGGAAAGGAATTTTAATTGAACAATGACGACTGAGATTCGCTTTGCTCGTGCAGAGAGCGCATCTCACAGCAAACAACAGAAAGTTTTTATTTTGTATAAAAGAAAAGAAGAAAAAAAATAGTCTCTGAAAGTATGATTTATACAGCTCGTTTACTAACAGAATCTCCATCTCCGTTTTGTGTCCTATTTCTTTTTACAAGAGCCCCTTTTCCGTGAGCATTCTCTGTTCCGGATGTTTTGTCAAGATTTTTATACTTTTACTGAAATACTCTTTACCGAGGAATTAGTAAACCGTGTGTCTGTACAAAGTTTTAAATATAATTTCAAAGGAAATTTCATAAAATTCAAGACAAAAGTTTTCTAGCAGTTTACGGCATTCAAAGGCAATTCTCGTGTCTCTGTTTATAAATCTAGAATTCACTTGCACAATTGAGACTGTAATTTTTAGTCAATGAACTATTATATCAGGCAAGCGTATGCAAACCTCGTTCTGTTGGACGGAAAATCAAAATTACACGGATTTTTCACTTGCCCGCTGCCAATATTATTAATCAATGATTACTATGCAAGAGGATCCTGATCAAAAGCAGCTCCTCATATTATTCAATCCCGCGAATTTCAATTCTCCGGGCTAAATGAGCAATTCGGGCTGAATATGCCCGGCTCAAAATGGTATTTGCGCTTCGTTTCTACCCGTAATTATACAGCTACATCGACGATAGGCGACCATCCCGTTTGGCTCGCTGACCACAATAATTGGCAGCGGTCGCGAAAGGACACACTTCGATACTTCTCATCCGTCAATTCATTAAGATCGCTTTCATACACGCCGATTCCCGCGATGATTGTTTCCTCGCCCGAAGAGGCTCAATTATAGACGCCCGGCGAGTGCTTGCGCAAACGCTTGTGCAGATAGGATACACAACCGCATGCACATACATACATACGTGTAATAGGCGCGTGTGCGTGTGTGTAACACACGGCTACGAAAAGAGAATGAATATGGAGATGCGAAGACCGCGAACAGATAAAGAAGGAAATGGTCAGAATGGAAGGGAAAGAGAAAGGCAAGATAATTCTCATTGTTCAGCAGTGGACGCCCTCGAGGCGTCCGCCACTTCAAAGCCATTCGGCTCTCCGTAGCTCTCATCGAACCAGAGTCCGGCAGTTAATGAACTGCCCTTCGGCGTTGCAATGCAGCTTGCTGGTGGTACTGGTCGTCTAGGAACCGAGCCAAGTGCCGGCGAGACCCATTATCCATTTACATAAAGGGCCGCAACGAGCCAGCTAAGGGTTTACACTGCTCCCTTAGCCTCCCCTGCCCCAACCAAGAATTTCCGGCGACTCCTGCCAGATTAATACGTAGCCTCGCGTCAGACTCCACAACACTGCTAATTTTTTCGAACTATCCCGCCTACGAGATACGTGTCACGATCGGCTATACGTGTGATCAACTCGACATGGTCGATGGAAATCGTCTATCAGAATAGTGCGATAACGATTTTTCGTTTTAAATAATGTACGATATCGGCCCGTGCAAACGGATGGCCATAAAATCGCGATGGTTATCGGTCGACAACTATAACAATCGCGGTAGAAAACGAACGACGTGATGTAGCTATACAGCGATAGTTTCGACTAAAATATTCCTTTGGAGAATTGCCATTCGATGGAGATTAGATATTTACGTGATAACGATATCGCGGATAACAGGAGTGAATAATTTGACTGATTAGAGACGAAACAGGACATGCTCTATTTTAATAGCTTTTACGACAATTGAGTTTCCTGCGAAGACGAATTATTCGTTGTCAGCTGCTATGTTGCGGTATGTCTTACAATTAGATAAAATGAAATTTGATTTTTGTAAAAAAGTAACAGTACGTTTTTTATTATCGCATTGAATTTTGCATCGAGTATTGCAAGTGCAGATGGTTTCGAAATGATGTTTAAAACTGCATAATCTTATCAACGTGACAAGGCGCGTACTATGAAACTTTCTTCGTTCAAAGAACCTTCTTATTCTAACGAATAATACGTAATAAAAAAAAAAAGTACATGTACCGATCGAACGCGATATAATCGATTTTTTTATGGCATTTCAACTAAATTTAGCAAGTATCGTGAACAAACCTCTATCACGATTTCTCACGTCAGTATAGTAAACAATCTCGCGATATAAGAACACAAACGCACGTGCCGTAACGAATATCGTGACAAAATCTTGGCTCTATCAATCTAGAATCAAGTATTAAGTCTTACTATATATACTACAATGTACATATATACTACAAAGTATTAAATCTTATTCCTAAACACAATCTCTTTTGTAGTACATGTAATACTATACTTGCAAAATCCCATACCATATGCAAAAAAAAAAAACCTCGATATCAGAAGTTGTATGTCACGTTTAATTTGAAAACGAAAATCACGTACCGCCCTTAATAAATTCTACCGTGAATGTAGCAATTGACGAAGCAAGTCATCCACATCCATATGTATATGCAGAAAGCAAAGCCGAGGGTGCAATGATACCAAGCCACGTGACACAGTGGTATCGTCCACCACAGTGGCGACATCTCGGACGCGATGGTCGTTTATTCGCGAAACAACACACGACGACGACGACGTTCCTCCGTTGAAGGTGACGCCGCGCAGAAGATGCTCCCCGAGCAGCGTTCCACGATCAATCGTCAACCAACGACTTATCGTTGAAAAGAAAGAAAAGAATAAGGAATCACACACGCCACTCACCTGAACCATTGATGTGTGTTGGCACGCGAGACAGACCTCCCCGCTTGGCGGCAGTCTGATGGTGAAATCAGTCCGTGCCAACCCCTGCCGTTGGCCTCGCGCCCCGTGCATTCAGCATCAGGCCGCGCACAAAACGCCGCGACACGCACGCACGCACGCACGCACGCACGCACGTGATGCACTGTTCACGTCACGGTTCACCACGACCACGCCCACGCGCCACCGCGACTTTCCCTTGTCCACGTAGACAGTTCACGATAGTGATGTCAACCACCACTAGGGGTGCTGGCCGCGACTCGACGGCCGCGCGGGCGCAACCAGGGGAAATCGATTATTTCCACGCTCTCTCCTAGGGGTCAATCTTAATCTGGCCGCGATAAATCTATTCGAGATGCATCGCTAATTCACGCGCATCGGCTTCTGTGCAGGCAGCTCGCGGCGCCGCGACTGCCAGCCGAGAGAGAAAGACAGAGGGAGAGAGAGAGAGAGAGAGAGAGAGAGACTTCCTCGCAGACAGTCGTTACGGACCCGAGGATTCCCACTATCGATTCGCGCTTCCGTGATGAATATCCCTGTTTACTGAATATCTCGAGTTGCCGATAACAATTTTCTCAACGTGACGATTTATACCGCGATATACGGATCGCCCCGCGGAAACGGGGATATCGTCATTTGAAGATGAGGGGAGGTCGCTACATTGGCAATAAGGTTAAAAATGAAAATTGAAAAATTATCGATTGTAATGGTTGCACGAGAAGCAACTAACATCCGAGTATATGTTTGGTTCCCGTTTTACGAAACTTGGCACCTTGTTGACTTAATATTGTAGTTGGGCAAATCGAGACCCGGAGGTTTATATTTGTAATTTGAATAGAATTTTCAATTTATACGAATGTTGGGAATTAATGAGAGAGGAATTCGTAATGTTTAAAAATCTGCTAATAAAATGTTCAATTTATGATTCGTTCGTTGTCAAACATTGTAGCGACCTCTACTTCGAAGAATTTAGATCAACGACATCTATGTTCCGTCGAGATGTGTATTTAATATAAACAATAGAATATTTAAAAATAGCTATTAATTTTATTATCACCATAGAAATGTTTACTGACACTTATATATATTGTAGCCATAATAGAAATTCTTCATTCGTTATTTCGTTATTTCGTTATTTCGTCATTTCGTCATTTAACTTTCATTATGTAATCTTCATTAAATTATTAGTAATTGTATGNTTTTGTGATATTGATAATATTTTTATATAAACAACTAAAATTAATTACGGAGTTATTTATTTATAGTATTGTGATATAAATATAAATTATCATAATCACTATAATATCAGGCCGAGTGGCGCGATCTGGCGCATTCGATTTCGATTCAATTAAAGCGAGTTAAAGTTCAATTTCACCGTCACGATACTTTCACGCGAGAATTTCGACAGAGAGACATTTCAAAATGTCCCACCACACCGGCGGTATCCTTTGAATAAATGTCGGGGACGTATTCAATTTAACTTCTGTCCAACATTTAAAGCCTTAGGAAAGCCGTGGACAGGTGTTATCGTATTTGCATGATTACCTTTCTCCTGTCCCTAAGATAACACGTTAAAACTTGAACTTGATAACAACAGTCCGCCGTGCGGAAATTAAATAGCCGCGTCAGAATCCAACTTTCCAGACTGTTGCTGCCCGTTGCAGCGTTCAGCTTCGCCAAAAATGTTCACCCGTTCCCTCGTCGAAGTAATCAACGGACGTTCGGTCTCGGGACTGTTAAAAAAAGAACGGCCCAACGCGAAACGATAGAACGCACGTCTGAATTAAAATCTTTTCACAAGCCCGATTACCTGTTCGTAAAATCGCTCGCGATATAAAACTAAGGGCTAAGGGGGGAGAGCTCGCAAGAAAGAGATGGACAGCTCCGAGTTCTTGATCCCGAAGATCGCTAAATTCTTTTTCCACGGATAAAAATGGTCGGTAATGTTCGCCCGGTGGAACCTTGACACAGCTTAGAATTCCTGGCGAGCCAAACCGCCGGGTACTCGAGACGTCAAAAAGCGTTGAATAATTTCTGAATTCGCCGAGACAGCTTGCGCCGGCCCCAGTTCATTCCCCGGTGTATCGTACGGTCTAGTTGTCAGTATAAATAGAAAAGTGCGCATAGTTATGCCTGACCAGCTGCGTAAGTGCCGCGCCACGGCCGCCAGCCCGTTCCATCAACTATGAATCCTGAGGTAACATTTAATGAATAAGTCACACAGATGGAATTACGTTTGAATATTTTATCAATCGTCTAATCTCTAGAGTGTGCGGCATTGGAGTATATGATTTATTTATTTGAGAACGTCTTGTCCGTGAAAAGTCGCGCGATGATAGCAGAAAACGATTGAGACTGGGAGAAGCGATTGGAAGAAACGATGGACGATCAACGGACGTACGCATCAATGGACTGATTTATGTAAATGCTTTCACAACCGCTTTAAACATATTTTTTATTTAGCGAGGACTCGTTTTCCCGATGAAATTGTACATGTACTCTTCGTTGTCAAATCAAATTATAATCAATGACGCGAGTTCTTAGCTACCACGAGGAGAATGTCATAGCTTTTGCAAATTGCGATAAAGAATGCGAGTTTAGTCGTCGAGCGTAGAACGTTTGACAATTAAACTTTGTTTCGCATATTTTTCTACATTGAAATTAAGCTTATAAAATGTACATCGTTCGTCGTTTGTTAATATTTTTAAATTCAAATTGACAACAACGTTACCTTTACCTCGTTAAACTGCCTGCAATAGTCCACGATTCATCCTATTACCTGTATCAAAGGAAACGTTTTCACATTTATGTGAAATTTTCCAATTTCACGACGCCGTAGCCGTCCTCCGTTTTATTTAAGATCCAATTAAAAACACACTTTATCCTCACAGCTTTTTGAACAGGCAGTAAATTATTCATGATGTTATGCCACCCTATAGTTACGGGCGTAGCGTTTGGTTTATAATACGGTCTATCATCTCCTTCTCGTAAAGATGACGTTGCCTCAAGGACTCCAAATATGAATCTTCAATGATGCCGTACGAATTTAACGACGAACAGAAACTCGATGTTCGTTCGAATTTCTTAGACCTTCTTGACGATGATACCTTGCAAATGTTTTTCTTTGAATATCTGCCGCCATTCGTATCGCTATGTGTTTGTATAGTTGAACCTCGATCCTCGATTATTGTCGAACACATCGAGTCATCTTGCATCTGTTACGATAAAAATTATGCTTGTATCATTGACAATATTGATCGATTGAGATAAGATTTGGAAAATATATTTCACATTGAAGAGAAAAACAAGAGGTAAAATTTTATTTGAAGGTATGAGAACGAGACTGACGGGATTTTTGTTTTCCCCTTAAATGCACGCTAGAACTTTTGCGCCGAGATGCAACCGGCCACTATCGATCCAGCAGATCAAATCAATAAAAATGGTAAGATAGATGGAAGCATCTCAGGGAGAGTCCCCTTTTTCGGTCAATCGTACAAAGGGATATCAGAAAAAGGATCATTGTTGAGCGATCGCAAGAAAGTAAGGACTCTTGATTTACCTTTGCATCGACCTCCTGATCCTTCAAAGGAGGCAGGAAGCATTTTTCAGCGACAGCATCCCTCGTCTGTGGACATAAAGGACAAGTCAGTAGTTAAAACCAGTTCAAAAGTCTTTTCGCATGCTGGGCCGAAATAAAACTGAAAGACAATAAGACACTCCGTCGAGTGTAAGGAAACAACGGGGAAAATAAGAAAAAAATCACGAGGTCTGCTATCGAGTATCGACATGAACATAAGCATCTACGCTACGAACTAAATAACATTTTCATGTGACTTTTCGACTAAAGCAATTTCTCCTAGAATCCTAGATTACAACGGACTTTCGTTAATGACGACGTTAATTTTCGAAACTATTCCCACGTCAACAAACTCGATCGTTTCGTTAAAAATTCCACGTCGCACGCCGGGGCGTAACGCCGGAAATTATTTTTAAATAGTTTCCCGGGAAGTTGCTTGCCCCTGCCTCTGGGATTGGTATTGCGAAACGTCGCGAACCCATTCCGAAATTCCTTTGTAAATTGTTTTGCGGTGGCCAGTACGTCGACGCAACGGCAGGACAAAGAAAGCCCCGGGCAAACATGCATAAAGAGCGTAACTCGTTGAAATTCAGACCGCGATTATCGATAGAGGGAGACAGACAGGACAGATGAGGATGCTAGAAGCGAGACGGGGCCACTCTCGCAACGACGAAAGTAAGCAAAATCTAATTCCAACGGCGGTAGGCGAGTCACGGGACCCGGTCCCCCTTTCCAGAGAGATGTAACACGGGTTTATCCACGTGTAGAGAATTTCTGTACCTTCTCTCGCCCTCGTATCCTCAATTCCTGCCCTGTCCTTGTGGTAGTTGCGGCCTGCAGCCCTCGCTTTGTGCATATAATTGGATTTAGCTTCGGATACCAGTCTCTCTACTTTGCCCACCAGCATCCACGCGCATCCACCCATTCCTTCCCGTCCTTTTCCTGCCCTTTCCATCCCTCCCCCCTTCGCCCCCTCCCGCTTCGACCTCGACGTCTTATGATCTAACTCCATCTAACGGCTAAAGACTAATTTTGCATGCTGTATCACCGATGGAACGACTGCGCGATAAGGAGCGTGTAATTAACAAACTGCGAAACGTGTTTGCACCCGCTCTGCCTGCGTTTCTCTCGGTTTCCTAAACACGAGCGGATTACCATTAAGGAAACTTAATCCCCTTGTGATGAAAGTGAACGGTTAATATACTCTGATGATAGATGCGTTTGTAACACCGTGCGCGTACGCACGCGTTCTCGATTGTAATTACGAAATCAAGTTAATTTCGATGAATCAAACAATCGCGATTCAATCGCGTAATAATTGCTGTGTCGACAGAGACGACGTTGCAAATCTGAAAGGCCAATGGCGGGAGAGGTTGCGCGACGTTAACGATCTTGTAACGAACGTAGGAGCAAAACGTGTGAACCAAGGGAAGATGGAACGAACGACGAATAAACGGGTGGAAGGGGGGGGAGAAAAAAACAAGGAGACGCTCGCCATTGTTAACGCGAAAGTGATACGTACGTAATTAATTTCTCTTATAAATCTTCCGTGGCGACCATTACGAGGCTTGACTCTCGCGCGCTGAACAAGTAAAACGAATCAGTTTTCGTCGCGATGCCTCTTTGCATCCTCTAATTGGCAATTAAGTATCGAGCGTAACGCGAGCAAACAGCAGACGATGTTAATTCGTCATCCTGCCACGCCTCGGCTATCCTTTTTCTACGTCATTATGGTTCCAAACACAGGATAGTTGGCTTTGATTTGCGTTCGCACGTTTCGATTCGATTTTCGATTTTCTCTTTCTTTTTTTTTTTTTTTTTAACGAATTCGAAAGCGTCGAAATGAGAACAATTTTCCGTGCGTGAGTCGATAGAGATTAGTATTGGTACGTTTTGCAACGTTGTCGCAAATTGAAATTATCACGCGCGTGTGTGTATCGGAAATTTTCAAACTTTTGCTGCAAGCTTTTGCGTGCCGCGTTTTTTTTTTTTATTTTTTTTTTTTTTTTGTACAAAATAACGGGAAACTGTTCGACGATAAAATTAATTAAATGTTTACAATTATTTACAAGCATCCTCGAGTACGAAAACACTTCGCGCTTTAATGGCCACAATGTTCGCTGCAAATTAATTTTGAGCGAAGTATAAAACATCGTTAAAACAAAACAAAATAACACTCTTATATCTTTTTATTCTCTTTTTTTTAGAATTTTGTAGAATTTTTATTTTCACCGCGACAAAACGTCGCTTATCCCTACTGTTAATTCTAATAAGCAAGCGATACAAACGTAAAGTTTGTAAAGAAATATCGCCTGCACGTGTTGCTCGTAGGACCAACCCGAGACTTAAACACCAAACGCGAATTTAAACGTTTGATTATATTTTATGAAAGCAGAATATGAAAAAACAAAATTATTGAAACGTAAGTAGTAAAGACAATACTCAAAATCACAAAGTAATAAGGCATTCACAGTGTTCCTTAATAAATTACATACCCCTGCAAATTTCTAGCTTCTATTCTAGCTTCTATACGTATATTTTAGCTGGATTGCCTACAAGAGAGTAGCAAAAATTGTTCTCAGACGCATCGTTCATTAAAAATCGTCGCATTGTTGTTTCTCGTTTCCCCTTGACCATAAGCTCGCAGACCCTCGTCCGACGCTGTACGTCAGAATTGTGCGCATGACACGTACCTTGGTCCTGTATGCTTGCAGCAGTATCCGCTGGCGATTACGCGCGCTAACTGAGTTCCCGTATGACCTTCGCCGCATCAGCCACTCTCTCTGCAACAACAAACAATCCCTGAAGCTGCCATCGCTTCGATGAAACTTTCAAACTAAACAGACCGGCGGTGAGAGCGTGGGGCAGAGGGGAGGAGGGGCTGCTCGGATGGGCGCCGGGGGCTTTATTTACTTTTTACGAAAGCTCCGCGACGGCCTCCGCCATCCCTCTGCAAGTTTCCGGTAACGCGAGCACGTACACGCGCAACCCCTACATCCGACGAAGCGTCTGACAACGGCACACTTCTACCCTATATATACGTACGTACGTATAGTGCCTCTTATTTCTCTCCCTCGTTCCCTCTTTCGCTCTTTTTCTCACTCTTGCTTCTCCTCCATTCTGTCTTCTTTCCCTGCCCCCCTTTCTCTCTTCTTCTTGCTCCTTCTCCCTGCCACACGCGCGCAGGCACGTACACACACACACACACACACACACATACATGCACACTCGCAAGCATCGGAGCATCCGGCGCGGGTTTGCCCGTTAAAAGTGCAGTAAGATCGATCGATCGAGCTACGCCGAAAATCGTCGAGTGCCGACTCTCCCCCGGCCGAATCCAACGAGTAAAGTAGATTATGCAAATGCTCGTCGAAAGAGGAGGACGATGCAAAAGGAACGGATAGGGAGGATGGGTGAGAGGCAGGTGGTAACCAGGCCAGACAGAAGTGAAGAACAAAAGAACCGGAAGGGGAAAGGAGGAAATTGTATCTGGCGAAAGGGTCAGGTCCGATGCATCGCACGATGTTATCCTTAAAAGTTAAATAGCCACAAACGACGTTACAATGGACGATGCCGTCTATTTCATCCCCTTTCTCTTCATTCCCCTTGTCGTTTGGAGCCTCCAATTCTATCACACTGCTCTCTCTTTCTCTCTCTCTCTCTTTATAGTCACTCTGTTTTTTCGTTTCTCTTGTTTACACGTCGCGCGTCATGCTCTCGTGAAACCGCAACGTTAATACACGTCGGTACAGTTAATATCACGGCAAGTTAAACCGGGCAATATTAATGCAACCTTTCGGGTGTCTGTGTAATTATGGACATTATGGTGTACCTCTGTTGTCCCCTTGTTCCAGTCCGTTGACCTCCTCCCGGCGTTTCATTTAAACTGTTCTCGACGGCGCGTCCACCAGGAACAAATTTATTCCCGTGTGTACTTATCTACCCCGGTACCAAGTTACTCCGGTAATCCCGGATAATAGCGAAAGAATGTACGACAAATGTGCGGCTGTAAGAAAGATACTCGGATAAAGTCGGTATTTTCACCGGGGGCAAGTTGCAGCCTGAAACTTCTTTTTGTACCGCCACCGTACGTGCACACCTCCTACCGTGTAACTGCTCGTTGATCCTGGCTGAGCCTTGCTTTTTAGCACGAAATGTTCAATGCAATTATGTTTGGATCGTGATCCAAATTGTTCTGCTTGTCCCGTTTTAAAAAATTACAAGACACGGGAGCAACAAACGCGAACTCGACGTATTAAAGATTGAGATCGACCCAGTTTACGTCCATCTGTCGGTGAATGATCGATCGTCTAAATCAATTCACTTAGTTTCTCTCAACAGTTCTCCCCCTCCTCAAGTATTATTCATCGACATTCCCCGCTTGAAATTGTACCAAGCTTGATTCAGTTCGCAACTAAAGACTAAAATCATCCTCGACCCACTAAATATCCCAAGATATATCTTCCAAAACTATACTCCAGTTTAAACAGAGCTGCTCCGTAACGCTTCGCTCGTATTACAATTCCGTCGATTTGATGTAACTTTACGTTACAGAGTGAGTTACTGAAATATTATTTATCGCTGCAAACAGTTACAATCTTCGGAACTCTTGTTCGTATGCTAACATCGCGTTGACAATAATTCACGTTCGTGTACGTTCAATTCACGTAACAAAGAAGGAAATCTAACGTGATAAGTTTGATATGACACAATTTCCATATTCCATGATTGAAATATTTAAATATTTCGCGAATATTCAGATATTGCGAGAAATCTTCGTTCCATCATCTTCCAAACAGTTTCCATCAGAAAAAAACGATTGAAATTCCTTAAATAAAATTCTCAACGACGATCCAAGCGTTTTTCTCAAGTAATCGTGACTGACACCTAGTTGCAGCATCATATCCAGACGGATAGAAATTGATGAATCGTCGCCGAACAATCGCGTGAAATTTTGATTTCCAATCCAGTGAAATCGTTGCCGATCAAATTCCTCCGTCTCAAAAGCGAGCAAGAATGCGGATACGTGTCCACGCGAGAGAATGCGCGTGACTCCATGGGAGCTGACCTCCTTCCTCCTCTATCCCTGTTCTTCCAACTCGCGGTGCTGGGAACTCTGAAAAATTTACAGGCCGACCCTCTGCCTCTCGAGTATTTAGCTCAAAGGCTTCTGGAATTTACTGTGTCTCCGAGTACGTCGGCGACAACTATTTCCTCGTCGTGCGCTTGGCGACGGGCGGCTGTCGAAGCTGTACCGGCACGCCAACCAGAATGCTGTCCTGGAGGAACGACATTGCTGCCGATTTTTTTCAAAGCATTCGCCGCTCTCGCGACGCCATCCTGTTAATTCCTGTAGTAAACGTTGCTCGTATTCACTTTAAAAGATCGTTTAAGATCTATCTAATCGACGATGTGTGAAGTTTTATATATGTACATTATGCCAGAAGTATTTATTTGAAATTCGAATAATTAGCGAAGTTGTAGTGACTTTTCTCTTGTCTCAGATAAACCGTACTTTCCTCAAAACTGTATTTCTTAATCCTTTTTTTTTTTTTTTTTTTTTTTTTTTTTTGATGCAGGATCGAATTGTACACTTTTTTTTTTTTTTTTGTAGTAGATCTCTGAAACGATTCTGCTTAACATCATCCCTTGTTCCTCATAAAATTGCTTATCACTTAAAATTAACTGTTCTCTTTCCATATCCTCGATCAGCTTACAACAAATAATATTTCTATAATGTGACCAAATGTTTGAAGATGAAAGTTTAAATTCGTCGATAAACTGAGGATTTATGCATGTTCTACTAGAAGTTTGCTCGTAAAGGTGCCTGACCTTTTTGGAAATCCACGAAATGTTCCGCGTATCGTTCGACGCATGAATTTGATAGGACTTGTACGAAGAAAATAGAAGGTAGGAAATGATAAGGTAGCTCCGAGGAAACGGCCGCATGTTTATTAGATTGAAGTTACGAAGACGGGCGACAAGCTAACTCGCTTTAGGTCTTCCGTGAAATTGTAAACTGTGATGGGTCGGCGGAAGCGAAGTTTCTTCTACTTGCGCTTTCTCGGCGCAATGCCGGCAGGTTAACTTCCGGTGGGACAAGGAAACGAGATTGCGAGATGTCTCTGTTCGAACTTCTGTTAACTCGACTTTAGACCGAATAGCCCTGCTCATCCGCGAATCATCAAAAATGCGATTCACGTTTTATGAATACGAAAATATATGTTTAGAAACGTTTTCTTATAAAAAAAAGACTACGTAGGAATTGAATTTTAGGATGCAAAAAAAATAACAATAATAATAATAAATAGAATATTTTAAATTATTAAATGAATAAAATAAATCTCTTAGGTTCTAGTTCTTCAAGTCGTGACGTATATGAATGTACATAGTAAGAAATAATAAATGTATTTATACCTAATAAAAATCACATCGACTAAGTCCTGAGTTATAATTATCAACGGCAAGATTTTTGCCAACCCTAATTCTCTGGTCTCGATCTCACGACGAATAAATCCCAGCTCAATTAAGTACGGTCAAAGGATATATCAGAAGGGAACAAACGAAACACACTTACCTTCGCTTGCATCTCAATTTTATCGGGCCCAAGAGATCGATCAAGCTTCGGTATCGGCAAGGTCTTGTACTCCTCGATGGTATACGGCTTGTATCCGAGACTCTTCTTCGATTTATCGTCAGGCGCACTGTACTTAGCTGTGTTCGAGCTGGAGAAGATAGTGTTTGTGTCTTGGAACGTTGGTCGACGTACAGTTTTAGCGGATCGATTGGCAGAGGCCAGAGGATCGGTAGATCCCTCGATTATACGTCGATAAAAACTCAGCTCGCTTTGATCGTCCCTCGGGGTCGCCAACGAACGTGTATCGTCGTCAGTGAGCTCCTCTCGTTCGCTGTCTCCGCAAACCGACAAGGTGGAACCCTCCGGGGATCGAGCCTTGTATTGTGGTCCACCTGCGAACAACGAGATACTAAAGATACATCTTCCTCAGGACGTTCTTCGTTCTATCGCTTTGAAATTGAAGTAAGAATCGCTAGTTTGTACACGACTCGAAGCAAGGATACTCTCAAATCTTTTGATATTTAACATCTCCGATATTTCAACAGCAATATTTCGAGAACTATGATAAAGATCAAAAAATACTGAGACTGAGTGTACAACGCAAGTAAATCTCGAAACTATGCGTTTGTAAAAAAGATTGTAAATTAATTTGCAAATCATTATCGTACGAGGATAAATCGGTAGATAACAGTAATTTGCAATTAAACTTAACACAACAGCATTTAAAGCGGATAAATTCTTCATGCATCCAAATCTCAAAGCTTCCAGATCTAAATCCCTTCGATATCAAACTACAACAGTCCACGCGTAATCTCCAGGGCGTCGTGCGTGCCCTGGCGCTCGTGACCGTTAAAAAATAGCAATCCTGCCAAAAACAATATTTCTTCCCGCGGTAAATCGGACCTAGTGGACACGTCGCGCTTCGAATTACAAGGAAGATCCAACGCGACCAAATAACAATAAAGCAGCAGTATGGCCGGTCCCTGGACAAACAAACAAGAAGGGACGGTCCTGAGATGACCACCGTACGTTCTAATTCTCCCTGGACATATACCACCAACGTCGAAAAGACATCTAATCACGACCAAGGTAAACCTTCTCCGAGGAAAATTACATCGTTCCGGTGGCGTTTCAAGTGTCCCCGCGTAAACGCACACTTCCCGCCCTTCGTGTCAGCCACAAACCAAGAACGAGGAGGAGGAACATCATCTCGTTTCAGACTAACTGAATCTCCGACGATAAAGCTCCAAATAGGAGCGTGGCTTTCTCGCCTGCTGAACCTTCGGGGCGAGCACGTTTCCGAGTTTTTTGTTCGGCTTCATAGACATCGGTACGTCCTTCGAACAACATTTCGTCGCCGACGTCTTCGAGAAACGCTTGGTACAACTTGTGTCGACCACTTGTCTCTTGCTGCCATCATCCTCTTCCCGTTTTGAACCGTTTGTGTTCTAAAAAATAAGGAAGAAAGTAGGCTTGATTTAAAATATTTATTTCCTTGGCTTGATTGAACAAATTGAAGGAACTTCACTCTTCGGTAAATGAAAGCAAAATTGTAAATTTATAATCACCTAATACTCATAAGCAATAAGCTTCTCTTTCTTCCTTTTCCTTCAATTGATGTTTTAAACAGCACAGTCGTAATACAAAAATAATAGAACAATAAAAATTGAAGTTTATAATTTGTGAAATGATCAGAATGTTCCTTGTGAAATAGTATGTTGCAGCCAAGTGGAATCAGAACGGTTTCTCATCACGCCACGGATCTTACGTTTCTCTTAAGAGGATCTGCGACGTTTCGTTTTCCACTGCCCGAAGACGTCGGACATCGTTGCTTGGAAGTGTCTACGAGTCCCCTGTTCGCAATTATCGCATTCTTGCTGCCGGCTGTCCCCGTGTCTTTGTTGATACTCGACGTAGTTTCATTAGATCCGGTATCTGAAACATTTTCGGTAAAAATGAAACGGAACAAAAATCAATACTCTCTGGTGAACCGATCTCGTTTTCTTCAGACCGTTTCTTAGCAAAGATATCAAATATCCGAGACTCTTATTATCTAGAAGCTTAAACAGTAACTTAAAAATTAGTCTATTTACAACATCAAGACTTAATACTTAATTATTAGTATTTGAATCGCTTAATGATAGTATAACTCTTGAATTATCAGTCGTCGATATTATTAGTGATTAAACGATGCGTTGTAATGAAAAATTGTAATTTTACTGATCACAGGAGTAGATACTGGAATGTAAATGCTAAATGTTGAAATACTGTGTATGTTATTTCCCGAGTTAATGATCATCAAATAAATTAATATTCAAAGTTTTACTTGGTTCTAGGTTGAATCCATCGGTGTTTCTGTATAAAAAATTCTGATTCCTCGGTGAGATTTCGCCAAAGTTCTCGAGCGAATCCATGGAATATACTGACATTTTGGAAACAGTTTCGATCTATTTAAAAAGCACGGGAAAAGTTACATAAAAAGCTTACGGATAATTATATTATATCGCGATATAAGTCGCGAATGAGCAAATGTAAATACTTATTGGTTACATGACTCAGTTCAAGCAGTTTCTCACGAGTGTTTTGTAAATGGCTATATATATGGTGAATTTAACGAAAAAATTACCTAGAAATATAAAAATATTTGAGTACGAAAAAATATTTAAATACGAAATATGAAATGAAGTAAAAAATACCAAATTTTTTTTCAACCTTACTACAAGATGATCAAGTCACGTTTCAAATTGTTTCAAAAGAGCGTACGATGTTTCACAATTTAATATATTCTGTAAAAAGTGAAAGTAAACGAATGAAAAAATTAATTAATAAACTTTACACTTACATTTGCAAAAGATAATGTATTAGATATTGTGAATAAAAAGTGGGAATATCTCAAGAATTCGTTGCTGAATATTCATAATTTTTTATCAATAATTTACTTATCAACTAATTATTCCTACAGTCCAGTTTACTCAACTATGAAATAATTTTGTACAACTTAAACTGGACTGTGGGTTGCTTAACTTGATATCGTTTTGCAAAGATTAAAGTTTGGAAATCAATTACCACAATAGGTCTCACCACGAGGAGGTGACTACGTTCGAATCTCGCATATATGATCTCCATTACATGCAAGTCTCGGTATTCAACTTAAAAAATATCGAGTTCCTATTCTACTTGGCCCAGGGCCTTATTCTACATAAAATCGAGACAGACGTTTCATAGTTCAAGTTCAAACTTGAAATCTAAAGCTTAACACCAAAACGCTAGACTGAGCTTGAACTATGTGAACTACCAAACAGCGGTCGCACTAACAATAGATACATCTCGCACACAGTCATACAATACAATTGGAAATCATACAATACATACAATACGTACAATCGTACATAAATACAACACATAATACAATTGCAAATTATACAACAAGTCGCAGCACCCCTTCTGTATCAGAGACACGTTTATCTAATACGGAATGAAAGAAGAGAAACGAAACTACTGAGACGCTTTATTCTCAATATCGTGCTTTGCAAAAGGGATAATGAGGATGAAAGCCGCGGTTCGTCTGCAAGTTTCGCTGTCAGTATGCCAAATCGAGGTTCCAACACTTAGAGGCAAGTAATGCAACGCTATCCCTAACGATACAGTGGAGTTTCGAAGAACCGCTGAGTCGTATTACAAAGGACGTTAGATTACAAGAACGTCACCTCGTCCGATTGGACGAGGCTGCAATTCCCCGAATTGGCACACTGACAGCGAAAATTGCAGACTCTACTCTAGCACATTGACTAGTAATAATAAGAACAGCAGTAACAATAGTAACAACGTAGAGAGAAAGGGGAGAGTCTTAATTTCGTTTCAAGTTAAATAAACGTTGGATCCTTTACAGAGTTCATCTACACTAGCAGACAATGATCCGTGATGAGACTGAATTTGTGTCCGTACACGTAGGCCAAAAACTCTCTTACCGCGAGGCATTCCTTCCGTGTGATTGAATAATTCAATTCCACTTCGTATAAGAGTCGCAACTTGTACGTCACGGGACAGTTTTTGACGATCTCTCCTTGGCTGAGCCCCGCACCGATGGCGTAGCCTGATGCATCGGTTGTGATATTGAAAGGCTTCGTGAAATCGCGATATTGTCGGAGTAGTTCGGAACAAAGGGCGAGATTTGTGAGAATTTGCCGATGATATCCCGCTAGGCCCAAAAATTCACGTACGTTTCTCGCCTTTGAAACTGGAAATTCGCGGACAGCAGTGATTTTTCTCGGCCATGGTTTCACACCCTCCTCGCTTATTACGTGTAGCCTAAATAGGCTACCTCGCGGTGCAAAAACCCTCATGGTTGCAGTTTTAAATCGACGTCTCGCAGACGCTAAATTTATCGAATTTAGCCCGATGTTGGTCAAGAGAGCTGGCGTATATTACAATGTCGTCTAGGTAGACAGCTCTGTTCTTCCCTGCAAGCCGATTAGAATTGAATCCATTAGTCTGTGGAACGTTGCATTTTTCAGACCGAAAGGCATACGTTTGTACTTATAATGCCTATATGCGTCCATCTTTTCCATACCTATTTGGAGAAAACCACTGGCTAAATCGGAGACACACTAAAGTATTTTGCACTGCCCAGTTTTGGGCACAAAATTTATGTAGAGAAAAATTATGTAGTCAAGTAAAGCAGTGATCGTCGCTTTTGAATAATCGCGCAACATATAAAAATTTTCGCTTGTTTATTCAGATTGTTGTTTCAGAGAGCAAGAAATATATATATATATTATGTAATTATCTTTTCCATTATTGTAAATAAAATAATTTAATTGCTGTAAATTATTCAAACTATGAAATAATGTGTAGTATGAGGAAATTCAATGATTGATTCAATTTTTATAAGTAAATAGTTAAAATTATTAAATAATATACAAAAATATCATAGAAACACGTTATTTTATAGTTTGAATAATTCTACATTTAAAACAATATTAATTAAATTATTTTATTTCTATAACATTTCTAAACATTATTTAATATAATTTTTACAACCTTTCTATATATTAAACAATTAAATTAATAATTTCATTCAATAATTCACGTCATTTGTCTTAAATACATTGTTCAAGTTGATTGTTATAAATTATTTATTTAGTTAAAATGTAGTAGCGCTGCGGTGCAGAACCTGTCTAAATCGATAGAATGGTAGAATGTGATACGAAAATGACCTCCAAAACGAAAAATACATTGGTTGTCCGGTCTGTCCTAGTTAGTGAGTGCCCTTCATTTGTCTTACATGGCAGCACTTATCAATTACTATAATAAACGCCATCTATTGCGAATGTATTAAACATTTTTATATTATAAACCATAACTTCGAAACTTGAATGCTTTGTCAGATACCGTGCTACACAATATACATATGCAGCTAAATTTCTCACCTATAGTTAGTCTTTTTAAGTAGTTAAAAAGAGAGGGAAATCATATCAGGTGTGTTGATCTTTCTTCGCAGCAGTAATGCGTGAAGTGAATAAATCTGACAATGAGTAAAAGATTCCTTCTTTACTAGGACTAATATAATTTATTCATTTGTTTGAGAAATAACAATTGCGTCGTATAAAAACAGAAAGTGAAAAGTAAGAATATATTTTTATTAATATTCGTAGTTTCGTATAAAGAAGTATAATAAAAGACTAATATGGCTAAAAAGTTGAAAAAGAATGCCACAGATGCAAAAAAAGCTGGCAAAAATATGACAGTCAAACAAAAGAATAATCGTCAGGTAAGTTATAATAGGTTATACAACATACGTGTACAACAGTTGTATTTATATAATAAAAATTACAAAACATTTGCAATTATATGAAATTATAGAACATTTGTTATATCTTTAGAAAAAAAAATCAACAGAAGACGATGAAAATAAACTTAAACCCGCCATTCTTAAAGATCAAAATTTGAAATCCAAAAGTAAATCTAAGAAAAATAAGTTAACTAAAACTGTGAAGCAAATATACAAGAATGACAAAAAACGTGTTTGTACTGACTTCTTAAATTCTGACACTATAAAAGTAGTAAATGTAAAGAACAAAGATAAAAATAAAGTAAAAGAAGTTCAAAGCAAAAAAAATCAGCAATTTAATAACAAAAAACTAAAACATCAGAAACAAAATAAAAAGAATAAAATTTCTGATCAATCTAAGAGTACAATTAATGATAATAAGATTGCAAAAAAAACAAAATCCAAATGTATAGAACCTGAAACAAAAGATAAACAAAAATTAAATAAGAAGAAAAATTTGAATAAAGTATTAGAAAAGAAATTGAAACAAAGAAAGAGTAAATTTTCAACAACTTCCAAAAAGAAAAATGATGATCCTCAAGTAACTAGAAGCCATAACTTAGATATCAAACATTTGCAGAAATTACTTTCTAATAAACAAAAAGAAGAAAAGCAGAAAGTAAACGTGAAACCACAATCTTTAAGACAAAGAATGATGACTAAATTAAAAGCTTCTAGATTCAGATATTTGAATGAAACTCTTTATAACAATGAAAGTTCTGAATCTAAAAAATATTTTAAAGATGATCCTGATGCATTTAAGGCATATCATGAAGGATATAAACAACAAGTTGAACAATGGCCTGTAAATCCCCTTGATAATGTGATAGCTTCAATTAAAAAAATGTTAGTATATTTTTTACAATTATAAATTATTATTTTAATTGTTATATTTTTTACAATTATAAATTGTTTTAATTGTTATATTTTTTACAATTATAAATTATTATTTTAATTGTTATATCAAACGTATGAACGAACGAATATTAATCATGTCATAGGCCAAAGCAATACATAATTGCTGATTTTGGATGCGGAGAAGCAAGACTTGCTACTACAGTTCCTCATAAAGTACATTCTTTTGATTTTGTTTCTCTAAATAAAAATGTAACTGCTTGTGATATAGCACATACACCTTTATTAACAAATAGTGTTAATGTTGTTGTATTTTGCCTATCACTTATGGGAACTAATCTTAAAGACTACATTATAGAAGCAAATAGAGTTCTTAAAAAAGGGTAAGTACAAAATAAACATAAATAAATAATAATGGATACTAAACTTTAATAGAAGAATTTTAAAGGAAATTCTTGTAAAAAACATTTCTTCCAGTGGTATATTAAAGATAGCTGAAGTTGAAAGTCGATTTGAACGAGTAGACGATTTTATAAACACAATAAATGGTTATGGTTTCAAAAATATTTGGAAAGATTTATCTCACAATTTGTTCTACTTTTTAGACTTCAAAAAAGAAGGAGACATTAGTGGTAAAAGAAATAAATTACCTTCTATTACATTAAAGCCATGTTTGTATAAAAAACGTTAGGCTATAAACAATGATTTATTATACATTTCATTAAAAATTTTAATGAAATTTATTTTGTTGTATTTACTGTATTTACTTCGTCTAATAAAAATAATTATAAAGATATGTAAAAGATGTTCCATAATGTTTTGATTCCATCCTTTCCAAATGAAATCAATCACATTTTGGACATTTAATATATGTGCCAGCTTAAGCAATGTATTATTCTTTGAATACATTGGTCTGTTTAGCACATTTTAAAATAATAAAAAAACTTTAAAATAATAAATATTGTGCCTATTTTATTCATAAATAATTTTAGAAAATTATTATTCAAACATATTGGTATGCTTAATACAATTTACAAGAACTTGAAGATAATAAACAAAGTATTTCATTCATAATTAATAAAGTTTTATAATACACGATTTTAGATATATAAGATTATATAATGTACTATTTTACAACTAAAGACCCGTCAAATTATTCATATACCATCTAAAATATTTTGTGTTTCTTCCTTTAAATCTTCTAATTTTTCTACTATTTGTAACTGTAAAATAATAATAAAAATAACTATAATATATCATTAATATAAACATAATATAAAACATAATTTACTTTGGCAGCTGCAATAATCTGTGTCGCAGTTTTTTTACTCAGATATGGAATTTTATTTTGCAAATCCGTTGGTTGAGCTTTAGCTATAATCTGTACTGTTCTAAACCCCGCGTTATACAATTGACGTGCTCTACCCTATAAAACGGAATAAATATTATAATTCAACTAAATTATTATTTTAGTTTCTAGGTAAAAAAATATTCTTACAATTTTGACTAAAGGTAAATCCATCAATGCCTCTAATTCCAGAGGACAACAATATGATAATCTTTTACTAAACATATTTAATAAATCTTTAAATGCCCAAAATTCATCCAATTCCTGGAATATTCATTCGTTGAAATTTTATGAAATATTATATATACTGCACTTACTAACCTGGCAAAATCGAATCACAGAAGATGCAAACGATGATACAGCAGTCAAAAGATTTTGTACAATACCTCTACTTATTTCATATTTTTCTGCTATAGCATATACTGCATGTTGAGACCACAAATCATACAGTATTAGTGTTACATAAAATCTGTGAATCACTCTTGGTTCCACATCCTATTACATATAAAATAGCTTATAATATAAAAATAAATCTAATACAAATGAACTGATAAAAATCTAATATAAACGACCACATACAAACCTTGGGCAATAATCCATTACGTATTTTACCTATATTTGCTTCATTAATTCCTATAAGTCTAGCTGTTTTCATTTGTGTTTCTGATAAACTAGTTACCTACAAATATATGAAAATATGAAAAAATTATTGTCAATAATAATAAATTATAATAAAAATTATAAATTAGAAGTTACCACATCGTAATAAATTGATCCCGTTAGTTTTATCTGAGATATTAAATCATAAGGAGTAACAAGATATAAAAGATGCAAATAGTCAATAAGAATTAAATGTTCTTGAGCCTTTTTTAGATCTTTATACAATGTATATGCACATTGCATATTAATGCAAGCTTTAACATAAAAACATATATAAAAAAGAATAAACTACTAAATAATAACTATTAGCAATAAAATTATTTCTACCTTTCATAGCTGCACGTCCAAGACTACATAACTCTAATTCAGTTTCATTAGTAAGCTTCAATGTTCTTTTTCCTTTTATTTCTTTAATTGTATCATTAGAAGATACATCTTGTGACGGAAAAGCAACACTTATATTTGGTTTGAATTTGTCAAAATTTTTTTCTTCTTTCTTTATTTTCATAACACTAGCTTTTATAAATTCACTTAATGTTTCATCCACGATTTGTTTAATATTCACATTTAAACGTTTTTGCTGAATATTGAGTAATGTTTTTTTGGCTATTTTGTGTAATTCAAGTCTAGTCGTCGCTATTCGTAATAATATAGCACTTAAAATTAAGTTATTTATACCTCTATCTTTTTCTACGTGTATTGTGCTTAAAGAATCATCCATTTTAGATCTTAAAAGTTCTGTTACCTGATTACATGATAAATATATGATAGTGATATGAACAATAATATTTTTATATTTATTTAGTAGACGTACATATGTAATGAAGATACATGAATATTACCTTTTCTAATTCATTATTTTTGCATATAAGTATACTTTCTCCTATATTTCCCATACCAGCCCGACCAGCTCTTCCTACCATTTGTTTGTATCTACTTAAATTTAGAAATTGGTTGCCAACATATGGACTCCTCAATATCACCTGTTATTATTATTTTTTTTATAAAAACAAACTATAATTAACTACTGCTTAAAAAACAAGTAATGAATGAAAACAAATACCCTTCTAGCTGGTAAATTTACTCCAGTTGCTAGTGTCGATGTACAACATATTACACACAGAATACCTGCTTTAAAAGCATCTTCCAATAATCGTCTTTCTTCAGATGTAAGGCCAGAGTGATGATAAGCTACACCTACTTTTATGGTTTTGTGTAAGATAGAACAAAGGCCTTCTTCACTTTTAAGTGCATTTAATAAATTTTCTTTTTCAACTTTTTTGTAATCTTCTAATGATCTATAAATTATTACATGCATAAGTAATAAAATCCATAATAATACGTATGTATTTAAAATATAAAATGAAGTTCTGACTTGAATAAAATTCTAGATAATAACAGAGCAACATTTTCACAATTTTTCCGACTTGAGCAAAATATGAGACATGAATTTTCTGGAATTACATCCATTACCAAACCTCCGATTCGATCAGGATCTATCTTTGCCGCATCATTTGAATACTTTTAAAACAAGTAAATAATAATTATTAATTACTTGATAATTACATAAAACAATAAAGCATTAACTTACCTGATAATTAATTTTTTTTACATCTGTCAATAATTCTTCTGTTGTAAAATCAAGTAACCAAATATTTTCTTCGCATTTCACATATTCCTTAATTTCTACAGGACGAAAATTTCCAGTATACAGCTCCGCATTTAAAAATGTTGCTATTTCGTCTAAGTTACCTATTGTTGCACTCATTGCAACAATATGAATATTATCTAAAACAAGCAAACAATAACAATTTATATATAAATTATGTATCAACAAATCTAATGTTATATTGCATTACCATTAACATATAATATTTTTGTTAAAAGAACTTCCAATGTAGCTCCTCTACCTCCACTTTCACCAAGAAGATGTAATTCATCAATAACTATAATACCAATCTAAAATATTTGAACATAATTGGATCGTGTAATAGTGTAGTAATAATATAACATTCATTTCAATTAAAATTTCTATTGTCAAATCTTTCAGTGTTTTTACCCACTTCATTCAAACGATTTTCTTCTATTAAACTATTTATTAAACTTAATGCTTTCTCTATAGTACACATATATATGCTATTTTTTTTACGACGCTTTTTTGGAGGATAAGTTCCTTTTGATGCTGCATATTCTTCAACTAAAAAATTTAATTCAAGTGCGAATGGTGTCATTGCTTGAACCTAAAATTTATAAATAAATATTTACTTCTTATAATTAATTATTATAAAAATTGTATAGTAAACATAATATTATGTTTACCTTTTCTTGCACTATAGCTACAAATGGCAATATAAATATTGCATTTCGTTTATTACATATAAGTTCTTGCAACATTAATATTTCTGCAACCAATGTTTTACCTCCACTAGTAGGAAGTGCATAAATTAAATTTTTCCTGTTTTTTACTGCATCTAAATTTAAACATTCATCTTGCCATTCTAAAAGAAATAAGTAACAAAATAATATAAACATAATAGGAATAAAAATAAAATTTATAAATTTATAAACTTATTAATAATTAAAATTATTTTTGTAACTGAAGTACTTACGGTATAATGAATTAATACCCCTAATTTGTAAAAAAAGTTCCTTTACTTTATTTGGTAAACCATAAAATGTATCATTGTTTATTAAATTTTTACAATGAATACTTGTACCTTGTTTAATTATTTGATTATCTAAACAACATACTTTGTGTTGAATAGTACTGCTACAACTATCAGAATTTCTTTTTATTAATTTGTCTGATTTGATATTCTGCTGTTCATTCGTTAGCATATGCATTGACTCTACGATTTCTGTGGAAATTGTTTTTTCAAAACAGTTCTCATATTTTTGTGTGACCTATTTTGGAAAACATAATGATCATATAAATCTAAAGTTAAAAATTTTATAATTTTATAGATGTTAAAATTATTAATAACCTGAAAGCAATCCAAAATATTATCTTTTAATTTACAAGGATCCAATTGTGTAAATGCTTTATTATCTTGCCAATGACTATTTGTTTCATTAAGCACATTCTGAGAATGAGTTACAATATTTTGTTTGGTAACTTTTGTTTGCAAATCTGTTTCATTTTCTTTATTATTAACACATTGTGTTTCTCCTTCACTTTCATTTATTTCAAATATATCACACATACTCCAATCATATGTAAGACTATTTAAAGTTCTCTCATGTATATTAGGACTAGATGTATATATCTCATTTTCATCGTGATCTCTAATATCTTTTAATATTGTGTCACTCATTGAAGAAATAGATTCATTGTTTTTTGAGTTAGAAAGCATTTTGTTTCATTTCCTTGGATTCTTATTTACATTTATGTAATTATAATTTAATGACAAATTTATATTTAGCATAATAATTAAATCAACAGTCAAGAAAAATTTGTCAACAATTATTGCATAAATTATTATTATAAAAAATCCATTTCAAATAAAGCAGTGGCAGACTATTGCTAAAAAATACAATTTTGTACGAAACAAGAAATATTTATACATTGTCAATTATATATTTATAGAACATAAATAAAATACAACAATATGTATATTTTGTTTATAATTATTTAAAGAAATTATATTTAATATAAGTATATAAATGTAAAATAGCTATAGTTACAATTGATTCAACAAAAGTGTTTTGACGACATAAACTGTTTATCACCAGAATAAATTAAATTTACTCTCTCTATTTAATAACAAATGTTAGTCATAAATAAATAAGCGAAGATAAATAAGCCATATATGAACATTAAGAATATATATAATTAAGAAACTATAAAAACATTTCATCTGACCTTAACCTAATCGTAAAAAGACGTAATAAATTTTGTATCTTGAACGTAAGAAAAATAAAGGAATAGAAATGAACGTTTTTATAAAATCTCTTGTACCTGCAGTAAGTGTAAATAGTAATGTGTCAATAACAATAATATCGTTATCAAATCAGATAATTAAAGTATTTCTAATTTATAATTTAAGGTTAAACCGGTACCTTTAATAAGGTGTATTTCAACAACTCATATGAATTATAAAGATGACTTTCAAGATATAACTCATCCAGAAAGCAGAGAACCCGACATACCACTATATACCCAACGTAACGAAGAAAATAAAGATATTAAAAAAGCTCGGTAATATAAAAACAAATTAAACATTATCAGTATTAAAATATATCTTTCATGTAATTTTATTTTTTTATATTTCAGACTATTGTATCAATCTCGTAAACGTGGTATGTTAGAAAATGGTCTTCTTTTAAGTACATTTGCTAAGAAATACCTATCTAGTTTTAATGATAAACAACTACATTTGTACGATTGTCTTATCAATTTGCCAACCAATGATTGGGACATATTTTATTGGGCTACTGGTGCAAAACCCACTCCGCCTGAATTCGACAATGAAATTATGGATTTGCTAAAAAAACATATAAAAAATGAAGAGCGTCAAGCAAGAATAATGCAACCCGAGTTATAAATAGTGTACTAGTTATGAAGTACTTAATAGCTCAAATTTTTATTTTAACTTTATGAAAGAATAAAGTTATGTTACAATAATAAAAAGTTATTTATTTAAACATCTAATATATCTTTTGTTTGTGCATAAATATGTAGTATTTGTTGTAAATAAAATATGAAATTATAGATAAATGATAGATAATGTATATTTATCAAATTGTTATACAAATAAAAAATTAGAAAAGTATCTTTCAATAAGCTAACTTACTTGTTATTATTAAAAATAAATCATTTAATTACAAAATTCTGTTTATACATACTTTTCAGAGATTTTTTTAATTACATAATACTGCTGCATTATTTTAAGTTAAAATGGCAAAATTGCCACTTTGTATTACAAACATTGTATCTTAAGTATTATATAGAGTATTGCGCTCTTTTAAATATAAATACAGTAAAAAAACAAGTATATTAATTGATTTGCATATATTTATATGGATTCCTGTTTTGATTAAGGCTCATGAGTCCTGGACCTTTATTTAAGTTACTGGTTGTATTTTTTGCTTTCGTCGTTGTTTGTCTTTTTTGTGAACTAAGAATAAAATAAGAATTATTAAAAATTAATATAAATTACATTAAATTATTTTAATAATCGTTTTATTAAATTATTAAATTATTTTAATAATCGTTTTATTAAATTAAATGCATATATATATTTTACCTTGATGCTGCCGATTTGACTTTTTTATTTACGTTTCGGTAAATACTTTTGCCTTTACGCTTTTTACCACGGACTATATTGGATTTAGAAACAGAAGTAGAGGTATCGTTATACCAATCATCATCATCGTTATTACTATCTTCTTTTTCTTCATTTATTAATGCTGTTACAAATCAAAATTATTAATTTTGCACACACATTTAAAACTGTACTGTACTTATATATTAAAATTATTTAAACATAACAGCTTTTTACCACATTTCTCTGCAGCATATTTTTGTGTAATATCTAATAATGCTTTCCCATATTTTTCAAAATTTGCTTTAGTTACATGTGGGATTTGCAGCATAGCTTCTTCAGTATCTGGAAACTTTTGACTCATTGCTCTAATTGCGATCATATTCATAACTGAAGATGCTGAAATATCAAGCGCTCCAGCAATTCCTTTTATTATTTCCATTAATTCTTTGTAACATCGTTCTTGTAGATCTAGAAGTACATTATCAATCTTTTTTGTAACTGTAGACACTGTTGCTACAGCAGTAGTACTACTAGATGATCTCGTAGGAATTATCACCTATATTAAGAAACATTTTAATAATCTATTCTTACAGTTTATTCTTAAAGTGAATTGTAAAATAAAGTAAATCTAAGCATTTATTAGCCTACCTTTACATTTTTTGTTGTCATGAGTTCATTCGCATTTGGTCCAATTTTTACATAAGCACAAGCAATTTCATTATTTATATACATCTGTTCTTGTAAATATTCTTTGAGCACCATATGATGGAGTAAACGTTCTATATTGCCTCTATTCCATGATTTTCCACGACCATATAAAGGATGCTTAGTAAGACCTACATAAATATTTGATAGTTACATTAATTAAAATTACATTAATATTTTAATAGATATAATATATAATAGAAAATTTCGTTTACCTAATTCTCTTAATTTTTTGAGGTCACTTCCCTTAAATATATCTGTAAGGAGTACTAGCGTAAGCTTAGAATTTTTTAATTGATTAATATCACGTACAGCTTTAATAATCTGTTTTGCATCATCTGTTGCATCTAACATAATGAAATCATCCTAGAAATTTATATGTAAGTTATAAGATATTTTACTTAACATAAATTTTATTGTTTTAAATATACTTACTTTACATCTACAATTGTCACATGCTGTAGCTTTATTAGCAATGCACTGTTGTCGATCAAATATTTCTCCAAAATAATTAAGTTGTTGCGTGCGACGACAATCTGTTTTATTTTCACAAAATGATACCATTTTGTATAAGTTATCCATGTGAGTTTTTAATACATTGGGATTTGGCCTATCTAGTTCAATCATTTTTCTAATTCTATGCATATCAGTATAATTGTAAAATAATATACAATCTGCATTATCTCCATCACGTCCAGCACGTCCACTTTCTTGATAGTAACCTTCAATAGATTTCGGAAGAGCTGCATGAATTACAAATCGCACATTTGGTTTATCAATACCCATTCCAAATGCTATTGTTGCACAGACAACTTTGATCTAGAATTTATTTGTAATTAAGAAATATAACTATTTAAAAATTGTGCAATTATTTAATTGTACTTTCATACTTCTTCTGAAATCCATCGTCCTTGAATATCACTCCTATTATTATCTGTAAGACCAGCATGATAACTAAGTGCTCTAATGCCATTTCTTTTCATTTGCACTGCATAATCATCACAATCTTTACGAGATAAACAATAAACAATACCGCATTCATTCTTATACTTTGTTTTTATCATAGCTATTACTTCATCTGAACAATTTTTGCCTTTTTTGGCAATTATGCTGTATCTTAAATTGGGCCTATTAAAACTTGACATAAACCTGAATAGAGTAAATTTTATTACGAAATTGTACCATAAAGGATTGAATTACATATATAAAATATACTCAAGATTAAATTACGTACCATTTAGGTACAGTAAGACCTAACTGATGTAATATATCAGTTCTAACTCTTGGTGTAGCTGTTGCAGTTAATGCAATGATTGGCACTTTAGGATAATTTTCTCTAAGACACTTTAATTTTTTATAATCAGGTCGAAAATCGTGACCCCACTGACTAACACAATGTGCTTCATCAATAACAAATCTTGTCAATAATTCCCTTTCATATAATGTAGTTAAAAGACTGCAAAATTTTTGAGATGCAGAGATCTTTTCTGGTGTTACATATAATAATTTAAGAGCTGGTTCTTTTTTTGAAAGTTCTCTATATATTCCATCTGTTTGACTATCTGTTATTCCACCGGACATATGTGCAGCTGGAATCTATACAAAATTTCTTAATAAATGATACATAAATACATATAAAATACTATTTGGAAAACTTACATCAAGAGAAGTGAGTTTATGAACTTGATCAAGAATAAGACTTTTTAATGGTGAAATTACTATAGTTACTCCACTCAATAAGAGTGCTGGGAGTTGATAACACAGTGACTTTCCTCCTCCAGTTGGCATTAAAACAAAACAATCAAACCCCAACATTGCAGCATTAATTGCTTGCAATTGATTTGGTCTAAATGAATATAATCCAAATTTTTGTCGGAAGACCTTAAGAAATATTATACTTGACACATAAAAAAATTTTAAAAGTATTAAATTAAAAAATATTCAAAAACAAATTTTTCTACCTTTAACATTTCTCGCGAATGCGGATATGTTAATCCATCAAATTCACCGCTAACACCATCATTTTTATAACTTCCAGTAAAAATACCTATTTGTAAACCTATTTCATCTTTTTTCTGTTGTTTTGCATTTTTATTATTATCAGCATTTTGCGTAACATCTATTTCCAACAACACAAATTAAAACAAAAATAAAAATGTACACAATACAAAATAAATTTGTAATGTAGATTTACCTAATAAACTTAAGTTTATATTACAATCTTTACTCAATGCAGGAAATTGTTGAAGTTCTTGAGTTAAACTATCAACCATGTCTTCAGAAAATGAGATATTGTCTATAATAAATAAATAATCATGTACTTAACTAATATATATATATAAACTATAAAATTTACCTTCTATATATGATTCATCTATTATATTCCAATCATCTTGTTTATTTTCATGTTTTAATTTCTCAGGAATTTCAAAATTTTCTTTTTTTTTCGATTCAAGATATGGACTTTTATTAATTTCTACTTTATCTAAATCATATATATTATCAAAACTAGTATCTGTGTTGAAGTTAGAAACTGCACTTTTAGTGTTAGTAACTTCAGATTTTTCTTCCTTTTTCCATATTTCTCCTATTTGTTTAGAAACCTCAGATCCAATTGTTGCTTTGACAGGTCTTTTCAATTGAAATGTACTCTTTTTGCCTTGAACTAGAGAATCATTTAATTTAGTTTGTTCAGAACCATGTAAATCTATATTTTTCTTTTGATCCTTCACTTGCGACTCGATTTTTGTTTGTAATAATTGGGGAAATTCTTTTACTGTAGACAAAGTTGTGGTTTGTGTTCTCATAGTATCACTTAATTCTGCATCTAATAAATTACTATTATTAGATGTACTGAAATCGTCACTATCTGAAATACTTATAATTGACTGTTGATTTAAAGTTTTAGTTAATGGTGAATTATTTGTGAATTTATTTCTAACTTCAGATAATTCTTCATCAGCAAGTTTTTGCTTTTCGTCAGTTTTAACATGTGCTAATTTTGTCTCAACCAAACGTATTTTTGCTTTAACATGTTGATATAAAATTTTTAAATTTTTATATGTATTTACATTAAACTGTGGAAATTTTTCTAACACTGGCAATGGTATTTGATCTAATGCACTGTAAAATTTACCAAGAATTTCTATTTGAAAATCTTTTAAATATTTACATCTATCTTCCAATTTATCTTTTGTAATCTAGAAATAATCATGTCATTTTAGGTACTCATTAATAATAATATTATTAATAATAATCATTTTGATATTTACTGGTACTGAAGACATTATTGGTTTCTCTTTTGCAGATTGTATCCATGAATCCAATTGATTTCCTAAGCCTAACGGTTTTAAATCTAATTTGAAATCGGGTCCTACCCATCCTTTTGTAATTCTTTTTGAATTTTGTTTAAAATTTGGGCTGCTATCTGAATCTGATATTATAATATTTTCTTCTTTTTTGAATTTAGAATATTTCTTTGGAGTTCTTGGACTATTATTTTCAATTAAATTTCTTTTTTGTACTTCTGTTTGCACATTATTGCTCCCAATAGATGTTTGCATAGATACACTATCAAGTTTATCTCCTTTTAAAGGTGATAAATTTTGATTTAATATTTGTTCTTCGCCACTACTATCAAAAATCGTTTTTTTTCTATTTAAACTTAAAATTGGTTTCATCACTATATCATCTTCACTATCTGATAAGTAATTAGGTTTAATTTTTGATTTTTGTACATTTTTGAATTTTGCTAATTTTAGCCCAATTTTTTCATTTATAAGTGGTATCTCCTTTTTAGAATATTCACTATTATTTAAATTATCATTTACTTTTATAGGACTTTCAATAGCACTATGTGCTGAATCATTCAAATTATCCTAAAATGAATAATTAGATTAAAAAATATATAATTATATTATAAAAATAATATATTTTACATTTAATAAAGATATTCTTACAGAAGATATAAATGATGTTTTATCATTTGTTTCTAATTTTTCTGTATTGGAAGGTTCAAAATCCTTAGGTCTATCCACATCATCTGGTTTTATATTTATATTTGATGACTTAGGAGTGCTATAAATTAAAAAAATTATTTTAACTTTAAGAAAATTATATCTTAAAAACTACATTAAATATTATTAGATTTCTTTCAATAAGTAATTTCCATACCTAGATTGTGTAATACTTTTCTTTTTTATACGTTCGATAAATCCTTTAAATGTAGGTTGTATGTCATTCTGAGTAAGTGGAATCTTTTTCGACATCTTGAAATTTTAATGAATATTAAAAGACTATAAAATTTTAGAACTATTTAAAATATCACAGTAGACAAAAGTTGTATTGTGTTTATTTACTATGATACATATATACATAAAATAGAATGTTGAATAAGAACATAAAACATAACAAACACAAAACGAAATATGTATTTCTAAAAATATAATTTTTCTTAACTTTATGTCTTTATATCACACACAATTATGATTAATTTCATGAAAAAACATAGATTATGCATAAATACAAAATACTAAATTAAATAGTTAATTAAATATTTATAAATATTTGTTAAAAAAGTTTGCTGTTAAAGAGTTGTTTATGTACAACATATATATCATATGAAACATTTGATAATTATAATCTTATGTATTCTTTATCGTAAGATTATGTTCTTTCTTTTGTGTTTCCTGTATTCTGAGCGCCATATCATAAACGCTAACCATAAATGTTACTTGATTTGAAGTTAGCAGAAAGAAGAAATTTCCTATATTTAAAAAAAAATGATTTGTAATGCTTCGTAACACATATTATACTTTTACATAGCTTAATAAACTGAATATAAAAATATTTAAAACTTTATATTTTCCGTACCAATATAAACTTTTATTTTTCTGAATATTTTTCATAATAAATTAAATTAAGCGCTATTTATATTTTGTAGTCTAATAAACTTTTTATAGCAATAATCCCTAGTTTGGGGATTAATTTAAGCTAACAATTGGACTATAATTTAAGATGGCTTGATTTTTGGATACGAAAATTGGTTATAGGATCTGTATATTTACATGTTGATAATTCTTTATATTTGTAAATATGACAAGATTAAAATATTATCAGTTCTTTTGTTAATAATTTTTAATAAACAAAATGTTATCACTTTCGTACAAATTATAAAATTAAATGGTATTTGCTAAAGCATGTGTATATATATATATATATATATATATATATATATATATTTTATATAAAATTATACGTATTTGAATAAATGTTTATAATCTCATGATAATTTTATTATTATTAAAATACAAAAATAACTTAATATTTGTAAGATAATATTTTATAATTTTACGTTAATATTTGTAAGATAATATTTTATAACTTTTATTCCTACGTAATGGTACATTTTATATATACATATATATGTATATAAAACATTTAACATGTTGAATGAATAATGAATAACTTCCGTAATATTAATGGAATCATGAATTCGAGCCTACCCTACACTATTCTTGTTAACTGTGTCATTATTATCAGTATATATATATAGTGAGTAATAGAAGTTGACATGAACATTTCAGTCTCAATACAGGAGGACAATTCTACAAAGTAACTTGCCTGTATATGTATCTGATACAACTTTGATAGATAGTGTTAATTATTATTTAATATAATACTATTAGTGTTAATGTATTATTTATTTTTAATCTATAGTTATAAAAAAATTTTAATTTCAAGTAAATTATTGATGACATTAATTTTTAATCTTTAAAAAATAATACACATATGAAATGTCATTTATATACATAGTGAGAAAAGTTTATTTATTATAGATAATATATAATTATGGGAGAACCATGCAAAGAACAACATCTTGACATAACAATTGATGAGAATGAAATTGTTGATGGTGCTAAAGAAATAATTAAAAAAATCAGACCAACATGGCCTTTGGACAAATTACATTTTAAGGTAAAACATTTTGTAAAATATGTTATAAGTTAGATAATATTCCTTTTTCCATATATATGTATATGTACATATTTTATAAGAATTTGGTATTTTGTACTCACTTTTTCAATTTATTATAGCATCGAAACCTTGTTTGCTGTAAATTTTTAACTGAAATACAAGTTGTACTTAAATATTTGCAGTAAGTACTAATATAATTATATTTTTAATTTTTTAATGCAATAAAAATTTAGAATTATTAAAATGAGTGCTATAGTAATAGATAATGCTGCATAACTAAATATACTAAGGAATCAGCATCATTTTAAAAAATTAATATCATTTTATTCCTACAGATTTTACGTATTGACAAGAAATCTATTCAAATTTGTTATTCACATTTATAAGTTATATATCATTGTGTTATTTAGTGTTTATATTCCTATGCATTGATATGTACATCTTGATAATTAAATCTACTCATTATTTATGATCCTTTTTTAACATTAAAATAATATTTTATAACATTGTTTTATTCTAGTTATTCAGAATTATGTCAATTTTAATGAATGTGAATTTTATAATTATTAATTAACTGATATATTTTATTAAAGAAAAATAAATCAAAATATATGTTCAAATATTATTACAATGAATTTTATTTTCAGATATTTACAGATGGAATCACGAATAAACTTATAGGAGTATGGTACTCTGAGTATTACAATGAGATGGTATTAGTTAGAGTTTATGGACATAAGACAGATTTGCTCATTAATAGAAAAGATGAAACAAGAAATATTCGAGTGAGTACAATTATTAGAAAAAATAAAAGTAAAAATATATGTATCTGTCTCTGTATCTGAACTGATCTATTTTTTTAAACAGATATTAAACAAAGCAGGTTTTACACATTCCATTTATGCTACATTCAATAATGGTTTAGCCTATCAGTTTATTGAAGGTAATATACTTACAACGGAAACAGTCAGAAACCCTGATGTATATGTATTAATTGCTAAAAGAATGGCTCAAATGCATAGACTTAAACCTGATATTGAGTCCAAAGAAGCTTGTATTTGGAAAAAGTTAGAAAAATTTATGGAAATTATGCCAAAAGAATTTTCAAATATTACCAAACAAGCAAGGTAATATATTGAATAATAAAATATTGTATTTATTTGTAATATATACGTTAATTATTATTAATATATATATAATGTGTAACATACGTTAATTATTATTATTAATTAATTATTTTAGGTTTGAAAAACTCATAAAACCATTTGTTGTTTTAAAACAAGATTATGAAGCACTAAAAAAAGAACTGATAAATTTGAAAAACGAAATAGTGTTTGCTCATAATGATTTACTTTTGGCAAACGTACTTCATAATGAAAAAGAAAACTCAGTAACATTTATTGATTTTGAATATACGGGATATAATTATCAAGCTTTTGATATAGCAAATCATTTTGCTGAATTTGCTGGTAATTTAAATATATATTAAAATATGATACTGTAAATTATACAGCATAATTTGTATTAATCAAAATTATCAAAATATATATCTTTATTTGAGAAATACATATGTAATAGAATAGAATTAGCTAAACATATAATATATTAGCTAGATATATGATAAGAATAGAATTTACTAAGTTATAATTATATATAATTTAATTTTAGGTATTGATAGTCCTGATTATTCATTGTATCCTGAAGAACAATTGCAGAAAGCATGGTTAAATATATATCTTCAGGAATATAATAATGTAAAATGTGTACCTGAAAATGAAATTAATTTACTGTATTTACAAGTAAATAAATTTGTTCTTTTATCACATTTTTTTTGGGGTTGTTGGGGACTCATACAAAGTGAACATTCGACAATTGATTTTGACTTTTTAGAGTAAGTATATATGAAATATGTATAAATTAAACTCTCTAATCTTTATTGAAATCTACTAGTGTAATAAGTATTCAATTCTAATATAATATTTTGCTGCTAATATAATTTTACGCTGCTTCAGAAAATAAATTATTTTTACCTATGATATTTTATAGGTATGCTGCAATAAGATTTAATGAGTATTTCAAATGGAAAGAAGAATATCTTAACATGAAATTATAAAATCAAATATACTTGTTACATATTATTATTGTACTGCTATGAAATTAGCATTCCAATATTTTTATTATTTTATTGTTTATTGTAAATAACATTCCTGTAGATATATTGTGATATTTCCTTCTAATCTGTTACATAATAATTGAAAATTTTATGATCATAATGTATATAATTCTACTGTGAATTTGTCAGTAGATAATATCATATAGAACAAAATTGGTATATACATCTTTGTAAAATAATATATTATAATATTAAAATATTATTTTGAAAATATAACAATTATTTAAAATAAAATATTTAAAACATAATTTATGATTCATTTATAAATGGGGCATATATGAATATTTATAATAATTAATATTCTCATTGTTACAAGTCGTTAGTCTACACTGTGTTTTGTTTTACTATTTTCTTTCATTTAAAAGTGAAATTGGAAATAGAATGTTTTGAAAATGAAGCTCGAAACTGCTTTAGATTCCGAATATATCTATGAAAATTAGTTGCAATCAAAAGATATCTTGTTAATACTTCATAATGTTATTTAGTAAATAAATGTTTGTTTCACTGGTAACATTTGTTATTATAAAGTGAAACAGAAATTATTTGACGAAAAAAATAGGATTTATACATTACATAAATAATCTCAATTAACTTTGTATTCGTGTTCGTGTATATATATGTATAGGAATTATACTCATTACTGTTAAAACCCTATGTCATATGGTAAAGTCGGTCAATTGACTAGCAAGTATGTTTTTGTCTGGGGTGATCACGTACGCATCTGCACGTACCTATAAATCAGTGTTTATTTTTAGTAGAGGCTCCGAACATTTTCAATAATACTTGTAAATACGTGTGTTATACCCAAGAAATGTAAAAATTAAGTAGGATTCTTTAATATTTTTTAATATAAAAAGGTTTTCCGATAACAATCCAAAAATTTTGAATATTAATATTCAAAACTCTCTTTATATGGTGAAAACGAACTCTCAGACGTAAATACATATATGTATTCGACACAGCCACGAACTTCGGTAATTCGTTTACTTGGCTTTGAGTGTGTGACTCTGCCACAGCATATAAATCAACTCTCCGAACAGATAATACACGAATCCATCGTACTCAAATATATAGATAATGTGCTTGCTTTTCTCAAATAGTAAATAATTTTTCAACAAGGTCTTTAATTAAACAAAAACAACATATTTGAAATTTAATAGCGCGAAACTTGCTGTGTTATAACAATTTATTCTTCGAATTAAACTATTGTTTTATATTTTCTGTTTTTTTTAAATATTTTTTCCAATTACTTACGAAAGTCTTTATCCATTCTAATTGTAAAGATCGAAGTGATCGAGAACAAAGTCCTGAAAGTTTACTTCAAACATTACGAAAAGCATAGAGTGAACTGTATAGGTTTATATGAATTCCGGCATAGTGAAACAGTGTACTGATTTTTAAAGTTTCTTTTAGAAAAACGTTATATACTGATTGTGTAAGATGCATATCACATGCAAATGTTTAAACGTGTCCATAAAATCCAGGGGCACTGAACTGCAAAAAATCAACATCGATGATATTGAATTGACACCCGAGGAACAGAATGATGGTTTTTTTCAGCAGGTAAAAACGTTTTGTAACAATTATTACACATTTTTATAAAGTACTCGATTTCAAAGAATTCATATTTCAATACCAGTTATTTCTAAATATTTTGAACTTTAAAACTTTTTTATGTAAACGAAATGATAAATTCGTAATAGTTGATGCCAATAAGTAGCTGATGATATTATTCTATAATATAATAATTTAACAATGTGATTATATTTTAAAATATAATCACATTGTTAAATTATTATATTATAGAATATAGATTATGTTTTGAAATATACAGGTTTTTCACTAAAAATATTTATTTATTTCTGATAGAATCTTGCATCAGTACCAGAACTTGAAGGCATTACTAAGGAACAACCGGGTTTAATGGAAATAAGAAATGTAGGATCATGGGTCATTCACCGTTGTTATAATTGTTCAATGTATACTCATGCTGTACATAGAGATTATGGTGCTGCATTAGTTCTTATTAATACCGAAATTGTTGTGAGTATAAAATTATTTATAACTATAAGAGAATATGAATAAATACATAAAATATATATTTTGTATTGCAGATTTCACCTGAAGAAATAAATAAATTAAGATCTGATCCAGATTATAGTTCAGTGTTTAGAATAATAATTGCTCATAACACTTTGGATGAACTTGATTATTTTCATCAACAGCCTACCAAATTTTCTGGTAAATTGGTATATTAATTAATCAAATTAGTGATTCAAGTATAAAACCTGAAATAAGAAATGAATAATAATATATTTCATTCTTTATTGCATATGTAAATATTTGTCATACATTTTAATTCATCTGTCCAGTGTCGCAGTTACCTAATAATGTGCAAGTGGCTTTGGGTGGTCTCCAACAGCAGCTTGAAGAAGCTGTTCAAAGGCAGTCTGCAGACATAGAAAATAAAATTCGTGCTTTTACAGCAGAACAATATCAATTGTTAGAGCAGTTTCGTGAAAGAGCTCATAATGAACATAGATTATTAAGAAGGTTTTATCTAATAATATAATTATAGTTTTTCTGTAGAATATTTTTAGATTTTATATTTAGGTTTATACTTAAAATACTTATTTCAGGTTAATCTGTAAAGGAGAAGAAAGATTAACTGATAATATAGAAACACCTCCTACAACACCAGATAGTTTTACAACCAATTTAACTACCTCTACAACAAATACAGTAAACACATCACAAATAGTATCAAATGAGACGAAAATTATTGCAAATTCTAATGTTAAATATGAAACTGGTGCTAAAAATTCTCCTAATCTCCTTGTTGTACGTTTTTTCTTATAACTTATTTTAATTTATATTCATGAATAATTCTAATTATGCAATTTAATAATCGTGTGTATATTTTTTAGAATGGTAGTATAGATAAGAAAGATCGAATATATATATACACTAAAGAACCAACTAGTTTTGACACAGAAGCTTTATTTCCTTTGGAAGGAATGGAAGACACTGTTAATACTGATCAAGTTCAATCTTCAGAAGAAGGATCTGATACAGATGGTAAGTTCGATTTTCAATTTATATAAATATTAATTTATATAAGTCATTTATATTATACTTAGATTCAGGTCAAGATGAAGGTATTCACATGCCAAGAGGACAAAGAGGCGGCCATCCTACATTGGCCAAGTCATTACCAGTTAGTGTTCCACCTTTCCCGTCATTTGTCCGTAGAACAGTTCAAGATGAAGATGATGATCAGGTATAAATATGTGTAATATATATCTATTATTTACAATTATTCTTATATTGATAACTTTATAATATTTATTGAGCATTTTTTAAAGATAATTTTTTTTTAAAAGAATAAAATATTATTACAGCTTTCAAGAGATCCGCATGATCCACATAATATTCGAGCTTCAATTAAAGCTCTAGCGAAAAGCGTTCATGGTGATACAGTATTTGGAGACTTGCCACGTCCTCGTTTCTCTACTCAAATCTGACTTTGCAATAATTTCAAAGAAGGAGAATGAATTCATCTTAAAACTTTAATATACATATAAAGTACCTATTATTCATAATTGTCTTTCAATAATTGCTACAAGAGATTGATGTAAGTACATAAAGGCAGAATAAACATAAAAATGTACGGGAATATTGATATTTCGCGCATATTTTCAATATATTTTAAAATATTATTTCAAATCTCTCTCTCTCTCTCTCTCTCTCTCTCTCTCTCTCAGCTTAGAGTTTATAAAAGATAATATGTTGAGTTTATAAAAGATAAAGATTTTCATACCTGCATATATTTGAGGCTATGTTATATAAATGTGCTATATATTTGTTACTGATCATATAAAGGTAAAAAAGAAAAAAACATTTAGATTTCAAGAATCAATACAACGTGAGATTTACGATGCCATATCTAAAATAAAATCGCACTAGAAAAAAAAGAAGAGTCAAAGAAAGTTTCTTACGCATTAATTAGTGACTAAACTATTAAAATAATAATTTTACAATAAAAATTATTTTTACAACATACTATTATCATTAAATGTAGAATAATTCATTATAGGTTGCGAATATTAATTTCAAATTACTGTCAAATTACTTTGATGTGATACTATATAATGTTTTACTAGATTCATTTGACTCTTGATGCAAATCTTTTTCCTACATATAAGAAAATTTTTTGTCAATCGGATAATATTTTTCTATAATAACTAGTAACTTGCTGCGTTTAGTTCAATTAAATTTAAGTGCAGAAATTGAAAATAATCGTTTAAAATTTCTTTCTGTGTTTATTATATTATACTGTATGTTAACATGTTTGTTTTTTGATTAATTGACAATTTCATTCAATTATAAATAAAAAAAAAATGTATATCATAAAAATATGTATTGCGTTTCAGAAATTTTTGCTATAATACATATATATTGTTTTTGTAAACACGTATGAAACACTCTTAGAACATATATCTACGTTAATATGCAGAAATGTACGTAAGACATACAGATAAAAAAATGTTTATGAAATCATTTACGTATGTTTTTGTATAAAGATATAATGATAAAGATTTCAATAGATATTTTTATTTTACTTTTATATTTTGAATTTTCTTCAAAACACTTGCTGTGTTACTTTTTTATAGATTTATATCATTAGTTTTTTAAGGTTTGTAATTTTTGTACCAGTTAATAGTACCATGTGATAAGCAACAAATTATAGATTAAAAACAATTAAGTAAATTAGTACAAAAACCTATGTGGCTTTTTTAATCATGTAATGTACGGTTATAAGTGAATGTTCTACTAATCAATTTGTAAAATGTGAGAAATGCTCCAAAAATGTCAGAAATGTTCTATATCACTTATAAAAAATTGACTAATGAAAATAAAATGTTGCTGTATGAAAAATAGAAAGTGTACAATTGAATTATTACCAATATTTTATGATTATTCACACCACAAATTCTCGTATATCTCAATTTTTTAATACTTTATATACATGTATAAAAGAAGGGCGCTAAAAGGTGTGTTAAATCAATTATTTCATTATAAATAGTATAATATATATACTTGATTTTTCAAGAATTTGTGAGAATTGTTAATGTTTTTGTCGCTTTCTAATTAAAAACGAGGAAGGCACACGTATATTGTATTTAATATAAACAATTTTAAATAAACCACCAGAATTGCAATCTTATAATTTTTTATCATCAGATTTTTAATTATGTAAATAATTTAATCGTAAACATAATACTGTAGTATACGGCGCATATATTTATTCAAATAAAATTGTAAATTAGTTAAAAAAATTAAATTTGATTTTCAATTAATGTATACGTAAATTTTTAATTACATACACATAAATTAAATCATCAATGGGTGATCGAAGCTTTATTTTTTCCAGCAAGTTCCATTTGGGCAGCAGCTACAGATTTCATACCCTCTTGTACAGCAGTTAAATTTGCTTTCCAGGCTGCAAGTAAATCGCGCAATTGCATCCATTGTGGTTTGCCAAATGTTCTATGCATAGTACTTGAAATGAGAACTTTGCGCCCAGCTTGATCCATACGAGCTCTAACGAGTTTTGTTTTTAAAACTGAAACATAAAAGTTTGTTATCTGTTATATGCTTATGTGCTTCATAAATATATGTATAAAAGCACGTAGATTTAATATCTCACATAAATGTCGAATATTCAGCAACTTAGTAAAGATTTAATATTACTAAGCCAGAAATAATTCGTTAATATACCCTGGATACATTGTCTCTATTTTATAAAAAAATTTAGAGATTCACGTTAATTATACAGGGTGATTTTCTTGTATGAAGAAATATTCTTTTATAGTTGAATATATATTCTAATTGCACGTTACAAGCTATAATAATACAATTAATTTAATAATTTACCATCAATAATAAAACTTTCTACTTCATTTTCATTAATTTGTAGTTCTTCCTGAATTGTATCAAACGACATTTCAGGATTTGTTTCTGCCAGTTGCATAAACGTTAATAACCTCATTTTTTTCATATTCTGCTCGTGATTTAATCCTAACAAAAAAATACATGATTTATATTTTCAATAAATTCATATTTTGAATCTCATTAGTTGTTTACATACCAAGCTGATGTTCTACAAATTCTTTATGATGTTGATAAAAATCTAAGTATGCAGGTAATTTATCTTGTACGAAGACAAGAAGTAAATCATGAATGAGTTCCCCTTCTAAAAATCTTACAGGTTTTAATGCCAATAACGGATCTAGCAAAAATGTATTTGGATCTGCCAATGCAGCTAAAATGCAACGTTGTGCATCTTCTCTAGCTGCAGAAGCATTTTCTGCTGTATATGTGCCTAAAAGTTCTACCATAACAGCAGCAGCTTGTTCCCTGTTACAATAATATATATATATATATATTGTATTGTTAAGTATAATATATTACAATAATAAAACTTTACCCCTGTTTACAACTTAAAAGTACTTCATGAAGCAATCGAAGTAATTTTTGCATTTGTTCATTTGATGGTGGAAGTGATGCAAACTGTTGTTTTAATTGATCTATTCCACCATATACAGCTTTTACTTGATCCACATTACGAGCAATTTGAACTAAATGATAATAGACATGATACCTCATAGGAGAATCATCGGGAAGAGATTGAAATAATAACCATAATCTAAGAAAACATTTTGGTTAATTTTTGTATGGAAGAATTAGTAATATTAACATATAACTTACGCTTTTAGACATACTAAACCCAGTTTATAACCAGGAGCTTTCGTTAGTTTTTCGCAAAATGCTAATATTAGATTTTCTGCCCGTTCGGTAGGAATCTAAAAAAATAATGTATAAAATAATGTATAAAATTAATTAAAAATACTAAGATATTTGCACATATGTTGACATATTACAATTCAAAAATATATAACATTTACCACAATCATAATAGATACAATATCATTTAGAACTGTTTCTATTTCACTTTCATTCCCTTCTTTGAAACAAGCTTCGCAAACACCGATAATTTTATGTAAATCATCTTCTATTCCTTTAGGAGACTTTTCTTCACTTATCTCAGCTCCTAAATTTTTAAAATATATCCTTAGTTCTTGCGCCTGAAAATAAATCATTAATTTAAAATACAGAAATTTAATTAAAATTTGTTTTAACATCAATTTTATTAAAATAAAGCTTAAAATTAAATAATAATAGAGAACTATAAAAAATTGAATATAACCTATATTTTTCATTTAAGAGTTACATATATGAATGTCATTTAAATTTTGTATAAAATTCTTTCTGAATCTTAGATATTTATATATCTTCATTGTCAATTACCTGGTCTTCTAAGGGTAATTCCATAAAAATAGGAGGTACTTGCATTTTGACGAATATTACCACGTTTTCTTACGCACGATTTATCAAGAAAGATCAAGCTAATTAAAGTTTGTTGTTATCATCATGATGGCCAACCATATATAGCCATAAAACTAGAAAGTTTCTTTCGTTTACTCGTATATATGTACATATTTTTCTTAGTGAAAAAAAAATTTATAAAAAGAATATATAAATATTAAAATGTAGGAGTAATGATTGATATGTAAATAATGTGAAAATATTATTTAACAAGTATTTCATTTCAAAAATGTTTCAACATGAAAGCGATCTACATATTAAATAGAATTTGTAAATTTTTATGTATGATAGGATTTTATAAAATGCAGCAAAAAAGTTCAGGGTCTAATCGTAAGATAATTTATACATTAATTCCCTTAATTAATATTTTTAAAATTAAAATTGAAATACTGCGCCGCGTAGTAGTGAAGAAGTCGAATTAATCGTTATTATTACAACAACAGACAGGATACATGAATAGATCTACATAGAACCATTCTAAGAATAACAGTAGTCAATGATACAATGTATTTTTTTTTGTTCTATGATTTCGAGGTCTTAGATCATTTTCGTGTCACATGCTATAGTACCGATTTAAAAAGGTTTTGCACCGCAGCACTACCTGTGAATTTACATATTTGTAAATAAAACAACATTATATTTAATGTTAATTATATTATTCATTTAAAATTATATTATTCATAAAAATATTATAATTTGAACAATTTTTTCTAATACTTTGAAACGCATGTTGTAGTCGAATAGTCGAATGTATTCTAAATTTTTCATCTGAATTTTCATCCATCTCTTTAAATCATTATTAATCATTATATTCCTTCATTGATGAAGCACCATCACGTTCAATTCAATAAATAACTTTTTAATACTCGAAGCAGATGTGGCCTGTAATATTGTCCATATTTTTTAATTATAATTTTCATCACTGAAAATTTATCGCTGCAATGAAGACTTGAAAACGTGCCTGAATCGATACGACAGGGTGTGACACGAAAATGGTAAGGGGGTCCTGTGATCTCCCAGTCATGGGGGTCCCGAAAAAATACATTGTCTGCGAAGTCTATTCATATACCTCGCCTGTGCCAGTGATTTTGTACTAAATGTAGAGTGCGTTAAAAAACCAGTGATTTTTTTTACTCTGTCGGTATTTCAGGTCACGGGCCACGAAACCCCTTAAGTCTATTCATATATACTTTGTCTGTGCCAGTGATTTTGTACTATGTCGGTATTTCAGAGCATAGAATATAAAATCCCATAAGATGTTTGGTCTATTTATATATCTCCTTTCCTAATTTCTTGTCACATTTTTATGTACTGCTTGCCTGACACACAATAGGTAAGTCTTGTATAGACAAGAAGAGCGATATTGCTCGATAAGGACTGCAATAGCAATTAGTTCTAGGATTTCACCGCTGCGTGGCGCTAGCATTTCAATGTTCGATCGGTCAAATTTTCATTAGCAAAAAAAATTAATTAAGAAAATTCATTTATGCAGTTTTACGATTGCGTCTTTCAAATTAGACCCTAAGTTTTCTTCTTATATTCCATTTGATTTACAAATTTATGTAATAAATTTTACATATTCTATTCAATAGATCGAAATATTTCTTGTTCGTGATATTTAATTTCTCGTAAATTATATTCAAAATTCGATTTGAAAATGCATATCAGGTTTTTTCAGTAAATGTTATAATATTTTTACATGACAATACTCGAGAAATATGCCGAAATGAATAACTATCGTTCGTGGTAATCTTCCCAAACGAAATGATTCATTGAAATACATGTTCTGTATATTCGAAACAATGCAATGTTACAGCCAGTACTTTGAGGTATGATTTATCTCCCAGATCCATTACTGATACAAAGACTTCACCACATTATCATTGAGATTTTGTTCTCTTGGACAATTTATTTCCTTTATTATGAAAGTGTATATTATTGCTTAGAAGTGAAACTCACATGTATATATAACTGCTATTCTTTGTTATTCTTATAATTATATATTATGTGATATACTGGATATTTATTATACATATATAAAGTAAAATATCCTTTTTTTTTGTAATTTACATCCAAAATAGACAACAATTTAAAATATCCATAATAGAAAAAGATATCTATTTACACAGTAGATTCGTCAGATCTGAGTCAGACTATTCATTCTATCATTTTAAATAAAATTTAAATAATATAAATTTTATGTATGTCGAGTATAATATAGTGTGAGGATTAATATTGCAGTATATGAATCCATTATTCTATTATTAATGGAACATATGTTGTAACAAATACTATAATAGCGAAATTGATAATAGTTGTTTAGAATTATAAACACCTACAGCAGTGAATACGTGTTTGGGTCGAAGGGAGACATCGCTGATGCTTCGTTTCAACAGAATTGTATCCGTTTCATGTAGATATATATGTATATATAGTTTCTTGTGTAACATATGTGCACGTGCTTATATGGAACAATACGATCTATTATACAAACGCAATTAGTTCTGTATTTACTCTCTACTATCCAACTTTGTTCCAAACTTCTTCTTTTCATATAATGATTGAACATATATAAGCACAACGATCGGTTACTCTTAGTTAAGATTTTACAACTGTTGAAACTCACATGATACTACACATGCACGTGGTTAATTATTTGTAATTACATAATATAGAATATTTATTGCAGAATATTTGAATTTCATGAAATGTAATTCATAATAGATATTTTATTAAATGAGATAAGCAATAATATTATTGCAATGATTTCACAATAATTAATGTGTTATTATATCTTTAATCATGTTATATGTATAGATATATCAGTCCATGACTGAAAGATCAATATACTGACAAACGTATTGCAGAACTGTCGTATGAACTTGATGTCGTATAATACTTGAAACGAAGCATATTAAAAGTTAAACAGCAATTTTTGTGCATTTTTGTTGAATACAATACTTTCCCTGAGCGAAAAAAAGACAACAGTAAAGAGAGTGCAATGAAAACAGAAGTAGAGAACAAAGATGAAATGTATCATATACGAAGCAGTGGTCCTCAAATATTTTGATATTCTAATTCTCTGGACTTTGAGTTCATTCGTATTAACATGTCATTTTTGGTATTATTTAATATTTCTTAAAAATTCAATTACAAAAGCAACCCGCAAATCTTTACAATATACAGTCTTTCACAAAAAAAATTACAAACAAATGATTACTTGATCGTCACTCTTGAGAATCGTTGTTACAAAGGATTCGAGAAACAGAGAGAAACAAACGAAAAGAATATGCAGGAGGAGAGAAAGATGGAAAACAGGAACAGGAAGAGTGAAAAACTGTGACAGGGTGGATGGGTAGGATGTTGCACACGCAAGTATGAAGTAGAATACGGACGTTATTAACACTATGCATCATAGCATACCCGTGCTAGACGGAAATATAGCGAAATTTTTTTATTGCCCTAAAGATAAATCACGATGAAATGCTGAAACTTGACGCTTCAGTCTGATTAAATTTCCTTACGATCATTCTTCTCTCGAAGTTTGTTAATTTTCTGTATTATTGAACGTTCTCAGATGTCTCGAAAAGTATAATTATTTAATCAATATATACAATATCCGATTTTTATTTTGAGTTGGAAGAACTTGATGTTTTGTATTTTATATCTTCATAACAAATTTTATATCTTGAAAACGAAATTGAATCAAATTAAAGATTGGGCAAGATTGGGCAATGTAAAAGCTACATTTTTATAGCTCTTAGTTTCCAACGTCCAATGATATCAATTCGGAGTTAATTACATACTTTATACTTATTCACAAAATGGTCTCCAAAAGGTCAAAAGAATCGATGGAATCATGTTTCTTCCTATGCATTTTATAGCAAGTCTTCAGTGTCTGTAGGCATTCGTAAATATAAATCGGTGCTAACTCCTACCTAAGAATCGATTGCCGTGCCAGCGTACAATACATTTCTACCGGGTGTAACGTGTTAGCGCCTGTTAGTCTCCATTTGCACGTTCACCGAATTTCATTTCCAATTCCAATAGTCGGCAAACTCCAAAATTGCTCGAGGTAAGGCGGACGACTGGAGGAATCGGTGAACGACCGACGACAGTGTTATGAATTTTCTAATTCGTGACGGCGCGGCAATGATACCTGCCGGAAGGAAGATATAATTGAGCCGAACGATACGAAGGAGAGAGTCTCAGTTTTAAGCACTTGGCGCGCGATGAAATCCGATTCATGACAAATTTAAATCCTCCGCATCTTCTCATGAGTAATTCATTACGCGTTCGTGAATTAGAAACTTCTCTTACGGGCGTAACGAATCCAGGAGATTCAACTGAGAGATATATTTAATTCCATTTTCGAGGGGGAACAATTTTTTGCACGCCGGATGAAATTTTCATTTCATTAAACCGGTTGCCGGTTTCTTCTCACATTCCAGCTATTCTATATTTAAATTTGGAAAAAATAATTCACGCGTCTTTTATTGTTTCTTTCCCTTCCCGCGTTCGAGGAATTGCATGACATATCGGAAACTTGACATTGGAATTGAAATATAAATCAGTATTTAGTCTTTCAATAGTGATATACGATAATATTAATGCTATAAATAATACACTAAAGTTTGAAGACTACAAACGTGATAAGTCACGTGTTTTAGTATTAACAGGAGAATAGTTTCAAAATCCAGTATGTTATCATCTATATTTAATACTCTGGAGGTTTATAGAAATTCAATGATATCTTATATCTACATATATCACCCTTTGTTCCTGCGATCTTCATCTACAATGCTATGCTACATCCTACATTATGAGTAATCTAATTGTGAATAATATTGGAAAAACCAGTCTTCTTGTAAAAGTTATTATAGAACGTTGCACATTTATATAGGTTTGCTTCTTTCAATTGACGAGAATTATTTGAAACATCACGTTGCATTTACTGACAAATTAGGACAGATAAGGACAATACGATCTTTTACTAGCTTCTCGACGAGGTAAATGCAAATTTAGGTAAGTCACTCTGAAAGTTGGTATAGTGGGTATATGTGGGG